TTATTGTAACAAGCCCCGTATTAAATGTTGAAGTTTTTTTACCAAAAGAATAAAATTTTATTGTCATTTACAAAAATAAAAATAAAAATTTCAAATTTCTTTAATAACTTCAAAAGATTTGAAATATTTCGAAAACTGCACGTGTCTGGTAATTTGTTTTAGATGTTACACCAATATTGAAATTCGATTTTCTCAAAAATGGATTTTGGTAAAAATTCCTGTTTTTCATTAATTTATTTTTGTTTTTCCCGGTGCTTTTGATAACTACTGGGAAATTCAAATTTGACCTCTCTCCCAATGCACCAATTAGATTCAATTTCCAACTGGAAAAGCTACTGAAGTTGAAAATTAAAACACTATTTCGATAACTTATCGTTATATACACAGGCACAAAAAAACACACATTATTGTAAAATCATTACATTCATCGCTCTGCTCAGAATCTAAAAGGGTTAGGTTAATTAAATTAGTTAAAAAAATATATTTAATATACTCTTTTAAATGTGTATTTAAAATTATTTTATTACAAAAAAACACAGCTATTAAAATTAWATATGAAAATAAATGAATAATTACGATTAATTAGTTTCCGATCTATTCAAATTAAATTTTACATAGGTTTAGTACTTTAAGTTCCAGGATTACACTGTATTACAATTATTTTTTGGWATTTCAAAATTTGAAAGATTTCGATCCGATAATATATTTTCATACATCAAAAACCGCTCATGTCTACAAAGTTGATCGGTGCAAACTTAAATTCAACAATGTCGTCAGCAGGCATGTAGTCCTAAAGTTATTTGTGAGTATGCTACATATGTGGCAGCTTTTGTCATCAACCCAGGCCCGTAGTCACGGTGGGAAAGGGCGTTGCCCCCTTAAAGTTAACTTTGCCCCACCAGAAAATTTGGTCTAGCTACGGCCTGCATCAACCCTTCCACCTCTACCTCCTTTCATTTATATAAATTAATAACATTTAATTATAGTTATTATTTTATTAAGTTGATTTTAAATTTTAATAACTTTAACAATGTAATTAATATTATTATAAAGTATATTTATTTACCTAATACATAATAWAATAATAGTTCTGTCAGCTAGTTTAAAACAATTTTTGTGAAGTGGATATACGCATGTTTTTCAGCGCATACTTCCGGTCTCAAGTTTTTTTCTTTAGTATGCTCTCTTTTAAAAATTTGAAAAGTGGGTATGCGCCGCATACTCACGCATACCCTCCACTACATCCCTGGTCGTCAGTTTTCATTCAAGGCTGACGGCCGCCGGGCCATGTAATCCTACCCAAGAGGAAAAAGTAGATCTCCTGCACTTCGCAATAATTGCGAGAAGTCGGAGGTGCCACCGACCAACGTTTTCATCCCAAATCTATGGCACCAAGGGAGGGATGAMGATTACGGYATCTTCGAAGTCAGAACGAAATTCTAGGCCAGCTGGCTAACAAGCCCGCCGCCGCGCCGCGCGCTGGGGCGAGAACGCAACGGCAAGTCGGCAACCACAATCATCCGGACAACATAAACTGTATAACTGTAAAATTAAATGTAAAAGTAAGGAGGGTAAGTCGAGGGACTGTCCAGTCTACCCTCCAATTAATGAATATATGTATTTGATCTCAAATAAATGATGGTGGCGCTGCGAAAGTAATACGCAAGCAGTCCCCACGGCATCGCCGGTTAAACACGAAAATAAAAGAAGGTCCAATGGTCCAAATAGACTTCAGGAATCAGGAGGGTTCTGTGGAGCAACAATTTATTTTTTAAGTTAAGTTATGGAGTGTTTTAGGGACTTTTGCTAGTTTTGCATGAAGTTTAATAGGAGTCGTTTTTGTTTCAACTATAATATGTTCTGCCCAAGTTGGATGTTTATCAAGGATCAGCCCTAGCTCCTAAATTGTTAACAGTTAACACTGTTAGTCTCTGGAATAATTTTGCTGACAGGAATGGAGGAGAG